GCATATTATGAGGCAGGCAGTAATAGAATTATTCGGTACTATGTTGTTTCGAAATGGTACAAAACGGTTCGGTACAATACCAAACACATTGTTGAAACATTAGAACAAATCTTACAATTCGTAGATACCATCACACCGACATATTCAAATGAAATATGGATATAAATACAAGAAAATAAGAATAGGTTAAAAGTATTTTACAAAATATTGCTCCCATCAATACTAGTCAAGAGAGCTGTCACTTCAAGCCAGGCTTATGTATAAGCAAGTAACGGACGAACAATACTGTTTTCTTTTTGCAAGTTACGGACGAACAAGCATGCGGGAAGAGGACGTACATGATATAAGGCCCCACCCAAATATGAAATCCCATTTTCATTTAAAACTAATATAATTTTTTTTACTCCTATTCTTGCAAAAAATATATCAAAATTCATAACTTTTTATTATTGTTCATTATGACACCAATATTTGATATATAAAAATAAAAAATAACTTAACACTTTAAAAATATCCTTTTTTTTTGTAAATGTTACGGAGTATATCTTTTTCTATTTGTACTTCGATTGTTACAAAAAACATATCTAAATTTCTAGCTCTTTCTTATCTTTTATAAGACACTAATTTTGAAGATATAACAATTAAACAATTAATTCTATTAGTTTATGGAGTTTATGATCATTTTTACTGTACACACAATTAATCAGGAGGGATGTTTATAATGATTTTGTACAAAGAATAAAATAATAAATAAAAGTGGTGGAGTTTGTGCAGCTTTATTAAACTATCATTCCTGATTAATTGTTTGCACGATAAAAATCGATTATAAATTGCACAAATTAATAGAATTAATTTTTTAATTTTTATATATTCAAAATTAGTGTCTTATGAAAGATAAAAAGAAGTTATGAATTTTGATATATATTTTGTAACAATCGAATTACAAATAAAAAAATATAACATTTACAAAAAAGGATATTTTTAAAGTGTTAAATTATTTTTTTATTTTAATATATTGAATACTGGTGTCATATGAAAGATAATAAAAAGTTATGAATTTTGATATATTTTTTGCTAGTATCGGAGTAAAAAAAGTTATATTAGTTTTAAATGAAAATGAGATTTCATATTTGGGTGGGGCCTTATATCATATCATGCACTCCGTACGTCCTCTTCCTTCATGCTTGTTCCCTAACTTGCTTCTACATAAGCCACTTGAAATGGCGCCTCTCTTGACTAGCCAACTAGGGTTGATGTGAGCAGCATTTTGAGAAATACTTTTAACCTAACCTTATTTTGGGAAGAAAAAAATTATTTGACATTATTTTGGGATAAACTCTACTAAATACTAGAAAAGATTTAAGAGACTGACATTTTTGTATTTAAATTCACAAATACTCAAATTGTGCAACACAATTAAGTAAAAATATAGCAAAACGATGATACACTATATAAATATCATCTTTATTAGATTCATGTGAAAATATAAAAAAGAATATTGCAAAATTGTTGAATATAATAGAAAAATTTAACATTCTTCTTCTTTGTTCGATGTTGAATATTAGTTCTAATTTAATTCATAGTTGAACCGTAAAAGCTATGATTCAAATCATATTAATTAAGCTGTAAAATTACACAAACATGATACAACAAAAAGTCATATACACCACATTACTAAAAATTAAGTCATTAATAATGATTTTTAAAACTTTAGCATATTTTCATTATATACCAAATATAATACGGAGTACAAATTATCTAAAAGGAAAATAACAATATTTATATAACACACACACTTAGCTATATTGGGATGCATGAATACATGCTTAAGCTATAAAATTGTTAGGTTTATAAAAGATATTTATTGGTATGGAAAAATATAAAAATCTCAAAGGAATTATTTTTGAACGGTCTCGGTTTTCAAAATCTAGGACCGGTCTTGTACCTGATTTTAACGGTATGGTTTCGATTCGGGATAAAATTATATAGAGCCGTTTAAATAACTGATATTCGGTTTGGTACCATTACGGGCAGGTTCGGTACCGGTTCGGTTCGATTTTTATGTTCACCCCTACTCCATAAAACTTTTGAGGAATGATAAACGTTATTACTCCATATTACCGAGAAAGTGACAGATATAGTCCTATTTTGGTAAAAGTCGCGTTTTTTATGTGGCCATAATACACTCCCAACTCTCATATATTTGCCAACTTTAGTCCCAACGCACCTTGGCCATCTAGCTGAGAGGCCAACAACAACAATAACATTACCTCAATTTCGTAAAGCACAAAAAGACTATTTTCAGATGATAAAATTGCATAGAAATTTTATAGATCGACTCTTGTTTCATAATAAGAAGTACACACGGTTTAGTGGGTGATTTTGCTTTATTATATCATATTTTCAAGCAAAAAATAGTGAGTATTTGATTTCATTAAAAATAATGAAAATAACCCTAATGCATCTGTTTCATTGAGAAAGAGGTTCCATAAAAACAATCATGTTAATGCGTTCTCGGTTCGCTCAACCTAGAAACACATAGTATCTGTTCTCCACATCAAAGGGAGTCTTCATCTTCAAGTTTAAGCAAAGGGATATGGATTTGGGGGGGGGGGGGGGGGAGCGACCGATCCTCTTGGACTTTCAAAATTTTCTATTATATATGTAATAGTTTCATAAAATGTCGATACTTTATGTGTGTGTGTGTCATGTCGCACCTTAACTTTTAATTTTTAAAAAATTAATATACAGCCTTACACAATGTAATACTTAATTTGACATTTAAAGGAAGAAACATCTAAAATAATTTATATAAACTTAAACAAATAAACATTAGTACAACTAATTGTTTAAGACTTAGGATACTTGTGATATAAAAGTTTATAGTTTTGTAAAATATCAAATGATATTAAATACCACACACTAGTTAAACAATTTTTAGGTCATGTGAATGTAATCCAAAATATAAATGTTTGTTGTCATAAAATTACACAATTCAATTACGTCTTACTTTCTAAAAACAATTTATGACATAGATAATAAGCATTAACTTATTTTAGCATTAATATAGATATAAAGATATAATATGCACCATATATATATGAATTAGCGATGTAATATTATTTTAAAAATAATGATCTCATGCATACTATTGTAATATTAAAAAAACTCATTGTGACTCACGCTCTCCTTGGTAGACAAAAATTGAAATTAAAAACCCAATTCTTTATTGTGATTAGATTCATGTGGTTAAACAAGACATAAGTTATTTAAAAAGTATTGATGAATGTATACCTCTTAAAGTCTTAAGCAATTTATTTTCTAATAATTTTATAAAATGTTATACGGAGTATATCCTTTTTTATTTTCAAATAATTTTCCTTTAATTTGTCGTTTGTTAGGATTTATTTCCCAAAAATTGATTACTTTTAGATTTAGACAAAAAAGTAACTAATAAGGTAATAAATTTAGAAAAATATGACATCACTGTTAGATTTTTGAGCTATTAGTCAATAACTCAATATCACTATCGACTCCACAAATGTCAATGCCGTCGTTAAATCCATGTCATTATTGTGATCTCAGATTTTTTTTCCGATGAAAATAAAAAAGTGAAAAAATATTGCGAAATTATCCACAAACCGTCAGCAGGTGCTGCTGGAGGTGGCTATGGGACATGTGGGGCCGTGGGGGTAAGGGGGAACGGGTGAGTAGTTAGGTCAGAATTAGGATTAAAAGAAAATATATTAATTAAGTATTGTCGTATATGTTAGTCACATTTTCGAAACAATAAGACCTAGTCGTATTTTCGTCTTCTATAAATGTAGAGGTAATACAAAATTTTAATTTTGCAAAAAAAAAACAAATTGTTATAAAAAAAACGAAGTATATTAACTACATATATTCTATTAGTTTCATTTAAACTATCATTTATCTAAACTACATTGAATTCAGTTATTGTCTAAAAATAATCTACTGTTTTGATTCTATGTAAATTTGATTTCGACCCCGCTGAGTCATTTTTCTGACTCCGCCCCTGCGGGTAGGCCCGGCCCGGTGGTTTTACGGTGCGGGCTCGGGTCACCCAATAGACGAACCGGCCCGGCCCGGCCGGGCCCCGTTTCGGGCCTTTTTTTATTTTTTTTATTTTTCTGAGTTGGGCTGAGTGTTTTGGGCCATTTGGGGTGGTTTGGGGGGGGGGGGGGTCGGGGGTCGGGGTGGGGGGGGGGGGGTCGGGGATTAATTAGAAAAGTTATAAAATAAAAAAAAATAGGAAGTGGCCTGAGGCCCGGCCCGACCCCGACCCGCCGGCCACCCGGGCTGGTTCCGGTTCACCCATTCTCAAATAAATGCCCGGCCGGGCCCACCCCTACTTCAGATTAAAGCTGAGGAAATTTGCCGGTAGAGAGTCACTGTAGCAATTCGGCGCGGGGAAAGTTCAACAGAAACAAAACCTATGGGAGACGTAAAGGAGATGTAACAAGCATGTAAATGCCATCCAAATTGTGAATAATTGCAAGAGTAATTTAGAACATCACAATTACTTTCATCCATAGAGGCCTGATCCTGTCCAGCCGGAGGCACAGGACCCGCCGTCCGGCCGTCGCCATTTGGGGTCCTTCCCGGTGGAATTTTTTGCTGAAATTTTTTGAGCATGTCTTCATGAACTCTAGTTTATCCATACCAAATTTGAGCTAAAAATTCAATCGGGAAGGCAGTCAAATGATTTTTTGAAGTTAACTGCGCAATTTATATACATATAAAACGCAGTTATCTTCCAAAAATCATTTGAGTGCCTTCCAGGTTGAATTTTTAGCTGAAATTTGGTATGGATAAACTAGACTTGATGAGGAACATGCTCAAAAAATTTCATCAAAAAATTTCACCGGAAAGGGCCTCTGATGGTCTTGACCAGACGGTCCCTCCCGTCCCTCCAGAGGAACGTGATCTTTTCTGTTCATCCATATACTCGACTTTTAATCCAAACACTTGGTCCGCAGCCCAGCCCGAGGTAACGCCTACTTAAACTTGCGCTCCGTCTGCGAAGGAGACAAGGAGCGATTGAGCCTAGGTAGAATAAACCTGCGCCCACCACTCTGTCGTCGGCCGTCCCTCACTGCTCTCTGGCTTCTCTGCTGACGAAAGGACTAAAGTCTGAAGGAGAAAAACAGGAACTCCTGGCCGACTGGCCCCTGCGTCTGGCTTCTCCATATTCTGGCTTCACAGGTAAGCAGATTCAACCCTTCGACTTCAAATTCTAGCTTCTACTCCGTATTAGACTATTATTTTTTTTTTTCTTATTTGTTTGTATTTTCAGAATTTATAAATTTATATTGATTTACTAAATGCTAAGGTGATACTCCGTATATATAGTATAATAATTGATTTGCCATGTGTGAATGTGGAATTGGATATTTTGTAAAATTTTAAATGCTAGCTGATTCTTGTTTGTTTGTATTTATTTAGGGTTATCAATATTGCAATTATGGAATTCTCAATTTACAATTGATTAAATTATGTGCTTTGCATTCCGTATTTTGTAGATAAAATTACTAATATACTACGTATATTTTTAAAGCTTCACTAAATCATGTGTTAACGATACCTATGATAGTAGCAAATGCAACAAGAAGTTTTTTAAAGTTGAAGCTTATAGAGACAATTTTACGGTCAACAATGTCTCTAGAAAATTAAAGTTGAATGAATTAACTATGTTATCAATTGAGAAAGAATTTATTGATGACATAGATTATGCAGACTTGATTAGTACTTTTGCATCTAAAACTGCTTCATGAGTTATACTTCATTAGTTTTCTAATACATTTAGTGTCAATTTGTTACAACGTAAAACTTTTATGTAAGGGTTGCATTTTTGTGATTTTTTAATCATTGAATGATTATAAAGAATACTATGTATATGGCCCATTTCTCATACTCGACTCAGGCCCAAGTTTAGGTAGGATCGAAACTGATCTCACATCCCTCAAAAGTTCGGGATATCTAAATTATTTTCTCAATAAAAATCATACTCCATACTATGTTTCGTTTTGATTAGGATCGGATGAATTGTTATTTTTAAATGTACTATTTTGAGTTATATATTTTTTTTTTTTGAATTTATAGGCCGGTTCGGTTCTTGTTCAATTTTGTTAATAAAGACATAGTTAGTTAAATACGCGATACGGGAATTAAATGAGGTTTAATACATACGCGTTTTATTTGATAACAAGAATTAAAGAGTTTTTTTCCGTATTAATGCTAATTAATTAAGTATTTACGAAAATAGGGTTGGGTTAAAAGTATTTACGGATATACTGCTGGGCTTAACCCTGGTCAGGGTAAGTCGCCCAACCGTTTGGCGACTTATAAGTCGCCCAACCGTTTGGCGACTTATAAGTCGCCCAACCGGTTGGCGACTTATAAGTCGCCCAACCGTTTGGCGACTTACCCATAAATTAAAAAAAATGGTTAAGCTAACCTCGAGAACCCACCAGTTCAGTATCGAGAAAGAAAGTTTAAAAAAAAAGGAAAGAAAAGAGGGGCAAAATTGTCTTTTGAGACCCGCTGAATTTTACGACTATCGTGTCCGCAGGTCGTCCGCGCAGGGGGGTGCGAATTTTCGGTTCTGAACTAGAAGTCGGAATTCTTGTGTGCGCGAGAGCTCCCCTATTCTCCTTCACCTTTTAATATTAAGTGATGAGTGGTTCATATTTATAGGCTTCAAACTTCCCAAGGAGTTTAGGTGTGGGAAAGTTAAAGAAACCCACTTTCCACCTTTGCTTGAAAGTGTACACCTTTCCATCTATCTTTTTCAAGAGCTAGTTTTGAACCACTTCAAACTTCAAGGTTCAAAACTCCAACACCAAAGGTCAACACTACAATCAAAGCTTCCATGAGTCACCCCGATATATATATATATATATATATATATATATATATATATGTATATGTATATATATATATATACACATATATATATATACATCTATATATATATACATATATATATATATATGTGTGTGTGTGTGTGTGTGTATATATATATATATAGAGAGTCCCGTTCCTATCAGGAGCTCCTGAAGAGAAGCCCCGTGCGGACAAGCCCATCAGAGGGTCTTCCCGGTAGAATTTTTTGATGAAATTTTTTGAGCATGTTCCTCATCAAGTCTAGTTTGTCCATACCAATTTTCAGCTCAAAATTCGATCCGGAAGGCAGTCAAATAAATCCTGGAAACATACTGCACTTTATATGTGCGCAGAATGAGCCATAGTTTTCCAGGATTTATTTGACTGCCTTCCCGATCGAATTTTGAGCTGAAATTTGGTATGGACAAACAAGACTTGATGAAGAACATGCTCAAAAAAATTCATCAAAAAATTCCACCGGGAAGATCCTCTGATGGTCTTGTCCGCACGGGGCTTCTCATCAGGAACTCCTGATGTGAACTGCCCTCTATATATATATATATATATATATATATATATATATATATATAGAGTGCTCTTCATGTCAGGCCGGCCTGACGGGATGCTCCGTCCGGCCGAGCCCGTTTGGGCACCTTCCCGGTGGAATTTTTTGATGAAATTTTTTGAGCATGTTCCTTATCAAGTCTAGTTTGTCCATACCAAATTTCAGCTCAAAATTCAATCGGGAAGGCATTCAAATCATTTTTTGAAGTTGACTGCGTCAAAATATACATAGAAAACTGCAGTCAACTTCAAAAAATGATTTGAATGCCTTCCCGATCGAATTTTGAGCTGAAATTTGGTATGGACAAACTAGACTTGATGAAGAACATGCTCAAAAAATTTCATCAAAAAATTCCACCAGGAAGGTGCCCAAACGGGCTCGGCCGGACGGAGCAGCCCGTCAGGCCGGCCTGACATGAAGATTTGTCTATATATATATATATACATATATATATATATATATATATATATATATATATATATATATATATATATATATATATATATATATATATATATATATATATATATATATATATATATATACGGAAAAGATCCTGTCCAACCGGAGGGACAGGATCCTCCGTCCGGCCGCCGCCGTTTAGGGCGGTTCCCGGTGGAGTTTTTTGATGAAATTTTTATGGAATGTTCCTCATCAAGTCTAGTTTGTCCACAAAAAATTTCAGCTAAAAATTCGATCGGGAAGGCAATCAAATAATTTTTTGAAACATAACTGTGTTTTATATGTTTAATTTGAAGCAGTTAATTTAATACTTCTTCGTATTGTATGGTTTGAAACGTAACTTTTTTTTTGCAAGAATTCCGTGTTGACCTTTGGTGTTGGAGTTTTGAACCTTGAAGTGGTTCAAAACTAGCTCTTGAAAAAGATAGATGGAAAGGTGTACACTTTCAAGCAAAGGTGGAAAGTGGGTTTCTTTAACTTTCCCACACCTAAACTCCTTGGGAAGTTTGAAGCCTATAAATATGAACCACTCATCACTTAATATTAAAAGGTGAAGGAGAATAGGGGAGCTCTCGCGCACACAAGAATTCCGGCTTCTAGTTCAGAACCGAAAATTCGCACCCCCCCTGCGCGGGCGACCTGCGGACACGATAGTCGTAAAATTCAGCGGGTCTCAAAAGACAATTTTGCCCCTCTTTTCTTTCCTTTTTTTTTAAAACTTTCTTTCTCGATACTGGACTGGTGGGTTCTCGAGGTTAGCTTAACCATTTTTTTTAATTTATGGGTAAGTCGCCAAACGGTTGGGCGACTTATAAGTCGCCAACTGGTTGGGCGACTTATAAGTCGCCAAACGGTTGAGCGACTTACCCCTACCAGGGTTAAGCCCAGCAGTATATCCGTAAATACTTTTAACTCAACCCTATTTTCGTAAATACTTAATTAATTTGCATTAATACGGAAAAAAAACTCAGAATTAAAAAGACGGTCAAAAAATCATTGAAAAATACGTTGACTTTTAAAAAACGTGTGATTACTTATACGTGTATAATACGGTATATGTTACAAAAATTTGGACAAAAAATACGGGGTATTATTTTGAACATTTAAAGTACATACTTTACAAATTAAAATATATATTAAAAAAAAGTATGCACATATTCAAGTAGCAAATGTTATTACCACAAGAAAGAATAATTCGTAATTGCATAAGTCGATGATAAAAATAAAAATAGTAATCAAGTCCAAAACATAATTTTGCAAAATAAAGTAAAAAATGAGGCATGATAACAATAGAATGATACTAAGTTAAAATCATTGTCTTTATATGATCATTAAATAACACTCAAGTTAAACTCATTATTTTCATCAAGATGATGAATGACATGAGAAAAGTACGTTTTGCGACTGCTACACTTATTATTGTTTGTGTAAGAGTTTACATTAGAAATATGTTAGACTTAGAAAAATCTTAATTTTGATATGCTTGATTGGAAAAATATCATATATCCAATAGTATTTCAAGTTCGGGTTTTTTTGTTCAAGTAGGAGTTTTTCCCCCCGGGAAAATCTTAATTTCATGATATACTTAATTTTGAAGTAGGAGTTTTTCCCCCTTTTAAACGGACCGACATTATTTTTCGTTTTAAACGCGTTTTTTTGTTAAAAAAACGGTACGTGTTTAAAACGCGTTTAAAACGGTAAAAAACTAACTACGAATACAGTTTTGAAATACAATCAAATTCAAAGTGAAATACATACATAGGTTCGATTGGTAGGTTCAATTATGTGAAATCGCGGGAAAATACTATAGAGCCTACGAAATTGTGAACAACTAACGGTATTATGAAAATGTGCGAAGGACAAGATGTGAAATGAAATCCACTCACGGGGCTGTGGGGTTTAGAGGCAAATATGGGAGCGATAAAGGCTGCGACAAGCTTTTCTCTCACCGGCGGGCGACCAGACTTCGGCAGCAGCTCAACCAATGGGGCACTTTCTCCCGATGCTCAGAAAGCACAGATCCGAACTCTACGTCTTCCAGATTCCAAACCTTCGTGGATCATAAGAACAAAGGTGAGACCCTAACCTCCGAAATCACTTTTCCTTTCTGGAAGGTTTATTGTACTTATTTGTTTCAGCAATTAGCGTTTGTTTCGATAGACTAAAAAGTAGAACTGCTGAACCATTTTTGGGTACAACAATTTTCTATAGCAATAACTATAACTCAACTACATCACAAATTGGGGGAGTAAAAAGCGGCGTCGCGATTTTGATTTTGTTGACTGATATTTATGGTGTATTATTTGTGTTGGTTATGGTTAATTGTAGTGTAAGGTGGGGATGGAAGGGAGAAAGAAGGCAGACCCTCCTTGTGTTGTTTGTGGAGGGAGTGGCAGAGTCGACTGCTCCCGCTGTAATGGAAGAGGTATCTCTCTTTTACCTTTTCTTCTACTGCAACCTCTTTCTTCATCCTAGATTGTTTGAGATTGCCACGAGTGTTTTAAAAAAATACAAGGATAAGGATAAGGATAAAAAAGTAGAAGCAGAAAATGATTGATAACAAGTTATAAGGTTAAAAGACTATTCTTTGTGCAAATAAATGCCACTTTCGAGTATGAAGATAAGTACTGATTGCTTTTCCACAAATTTTCACTCTAGTCATACTGTGATATGCTCTCTTTAATCTAATCTGTTAATTTTAGAGAAATTTCTCAAAATATGAGTGAAATAAAATAGTTTTCCAAAATAGGATTGCTATATTTTTCTTAAATACAAGAAAAATACTACATTTCTCGAATTATTATACTGACATTAAGAAGATGTCAATATGACCAGAGTATGACAATACTTAATCCTATGAATTTTATCAATCAAATTTTTCACTAAACAGTAAACACGTATTGTTTGACTTTGCGCAGTGAATTAAGTAATAATCAAAATAAGGAAGGCTACTAGGTTAGAGTTATTTAATCAATATAAGGAAGGTTACTAGTTAGAATTACTTTTCCGACTGAATTGGCTGAAATTGCTATAGAGCACCATTTTAGCTATTTTTCATATATTTTATTCAACTTTACTAATACAATACTCCCTCCGTTCTTTAATAAAAGTCCTTCTTTCCTTTTTGGGACGTTTTTTTTTATTTGTCCTCCTTTCCATTTAAGGAAAGTTTTTACTTTAAATATACCTTTATACCCCCACTTTTATTACCATTACCCCTTTCTCTTTCCTACTTTTTCATTTACCCACTACTCATTACACCTTTTACACTACCCCTACTATTTTCCTCTTAAAACCCGTGCCAAAGCCTAAGAGGACAGATAATAAAGAACGGAGGGAGTATATTTTAAATACTTGCTGACGGGTATAATTCGCTCTAGAGACTAGACTTGAATAAGTGAACAAATCCTAAACCAGCTTGTGAATACATGTAGGAAGGACAAATCATGTGGAGCTAGAGGTGCTTCCACAAGGAAAGTGGCCAGAGTGGTGAGTAACCATTCAGAGTAAACGGTCTTCCACCAAATGGTTGGTAGATGTTTAGTGTGAATAACTCCTAGATTGCGCTGTTTTTCGCAGGTGTAGATACTGTAGTGGAAGTGGACTGAGCCACTGCTCTCGCTGCCTTGGCACCGGCGAGTATCGCCATACAATGGGATTTGACTTCATGTACAGTGCAGCTAGCCAATCTTGATCAACATGCAACATTACATATTTACAGCTTCCTCATATATTGTAATAATGAACAAAATTACACTTTGGCTCCTTTCAGTCTTTTTACTGATTTTTGTTATTTCCCAAAATAATCTCGATCCTTTTTTTATACGAGTATATCACTATATCTTATCAAATACGGAGTACGTAGTATTATGTATCAATGTATCATTGTACTGGCAACCTCATGAAAAAGTCAGGGAATAGGCAAGAAAGGGGTGGGAATGTGATTGGAGATGATGCTTAATAAGTTATGAGTAGGTTATGTGGTACACGTTAACACGATGCAAAAATAAAAGGGGCCCATCAAAATGAATTCCAAAATAAGGTCGAACAGTCAAATTTACTCGTTCGATATTCGCGGGCTTAAATAGCCAAACAAGAATACTTAAAATTTCAAAACTATCATTAAACCAAAAAGCATAACAACAAACAACCAAAGTAGGGGTGGACTCGGGTCGGGCCGCCCGGCCCGGAACCGGACCGGCCCGATACTGTTTGGACCTGGCCCGGCACTGTTTGGGCCTGGCCCGGTTGGCCGGTCTTCGGGTTGGTTCGGGCCTACCGAACCGCTCAATTCTCGGGGCGGGCTCGGGCCTCCTAAAAGTGGAACCGGCCCGGCTGATCTGGGCCCGGTTCGGGCCAATTTTTTTTTTGTTTTTCAATTTGTTTTGTTTCTACTGGGTTGGGCTGGGTGTTTTGGGGGGATTTGGGGTGGGGGGGGTGAAGGGGGGTTGGGGGTTAATTACAAAAGCAAAAAAAACAAAAAAAAAAAACAACATTGAACCGGAGCCGGCCCGGTCCGGCCCAGAACCGCTGCCTACCCGGGCTGGTTCCGGTTCTCCCTTCCCAGAGAAAAAGCCTGACCAGGCCCAGACCCGATCCGGAACCGGCCCGGGTCCATCCCTAAACCAAAAGCAACACTCTTTTCAACTTGGTTAGTTTTTTGTTGTAATTTTATAGGAGTTTTTGTGTTTGATTCTACTGTTGTGAAGTGATTACTAAATAAAAAATGATTAATAGTAAAAGTTGATATTGTTTGAGAATAAAAGTGGTTTTAAAAAGTAAAAGTTAGAGTTTGGTAAACTAAAGTAATTTTGTGTGATAGGAAAAGTAAAAAACAGTTTAAAGCATACATCCGCCTACTTCTAGTTTAGCTTAAAAATGCTTAATTTAAGCAAAAGTACTTATCTTAAGCAAAGCAAAGCATTTATCTTTCATTTATTTAAACTGTTTTTTACTGGCAATCCTAGTTTAAACTGTTTTGTAATATGTGATAACATATTTTAATTGCAGTCTTTTATTTAAACGGGAAAACTGTCAAATAGGTCCTCGAACTTTCATAAAATAGTCAATTAAGTCCTTCTATAGAAGGCTTTGTCCAGTCGTCGCGATTTGAGGTGGTTCCCGGTGGAATTTTTTGATGAAATTTTTTGAGCATCTTATTCATCAAGTCTAGTTTACTCATACCAAATTTCAGCTAAAAAATTAATCGGGAGCGCATTCAAATTAATTCGAGAACGCAAAAAAGCGCAGTTATCTTCAAGAATTAATTTGAATGTGTTCCCGATTGAATTTTTAGCTCAAATTTGGTATGAGTAAACTAGACTTGATGAATAAGATGCTCAAAAAATTTCATCAAAAAATTCCACCGGGAACTGCCCCAAATCGCGACGGCCGGACAAAACCTCCTATAGAAGGACTTAATTGATCTTTTTATGAAAGTTCGAGGACCTATTTGACAGTTTTTCCTATTTAAACTGTTTTTTACTTTTCCAGTTTTGATAACGTATGGACATGATGTGATAACATATTACATAGGAAACTGTTTCTTAAAAACAGTTTCCTATGTATTACAAAACTGGCCTGATGTGAAATTAAAATAAGTCCAAGAAAACATGCCTTTTCACAATCATATGCAGAGAATGGCCTAGCAATCCTAGCAGCTATATATGTTATCACAATCTTTCAATAAAAGACTGCAATTATCTGGTGTGTGAATGCCATTGCATAATGCAGGGTATATACACTCCAAACAGACTTTGTAACTTTGTTTAAGGAATGGCAGCAGTGGACTATGTTCAGTAACCCTGCTTTTTTTTGCTCCATCATTTGCAATAGAGCCAAAGATTCACTGTTTTTTGCTTGAGAATAATATGGAATAAAGCAAAATGGCTCACTAAAATGTCTGCACTTCTTTGTTATGAAGTATCAGTCAGTCTATGCAATTTTGGACGCGATTTTCACTATGGGTCATCCGGAAACAGTCTCTCTGTGCTTTAGTACAGGGGGTAAGACTGCGTACATCCGACCCCCCCTTACCCTACCGTAGGTGGGAGCCTTTGCAGCACTGGGGTAATGATAATGATAATGAATCAACAACTTAAAAAGTCATCCTGTTGGCATATTTTTTTAACAAAATGTTCTACAAGTAAATTGCTAGAACCATAGAAAATGTGATCAAGAAATCATCTTATTCAGCACTGGATTTGATAATCCTTTACCTAAGATATACCAAGCATAGAACCGTATGGTATCATGTTTCAAAACAGAAAACCGCAGTCGGAGAAACTTGGAATTAGGGCGTGTTGCTCAAAATCTATCTCTTTCTTTTGGTGTCATTGGAAAAAGTAGTCGATCATTCAGCACTGAAGCAGATCCTCCGCCCAGGAAAAAGAATTCAGAAGGCATATATAAGTACATACAAACAGCACCTTAAGATTGGACTCCATAGGGGAGTAGAGCAGCAGCAACTATCCTGCCTTCTTCATTTAGAATGTTGTAAGTAGATGCTGCATTTCTCTGCAACCCAAGATGATGATGATTTTAAAAATTGCCAAATAAATTGCAAAAACACTAAACATGTCCATAATATACTAACCGAATCAACTGTCTCAAATTTCATTCCAGTAGAACGAATAAACTTTCGAACCTCTGGGTTTACTTGCTGAATGTGCCTCCCACAACCAATAATGAGGATCTCTATATACAGAGGGTTGAAATCTCAATCAACAGATGGAAGGAACAAAATTATAGCATGGGTTTTAGGGTTAACCACATTCAGCTGAGGGGTGAATGGAATAATTCGGGAGTTATATAGTTTGATGACTTGATCCAGTTATAAAGTAGTTCCTGGAGTTTATGGAAATTGCAAATATCCCCTATGTAAATGACACCATTAATACAGAAATTTGATAGAATATATTGATTGTCTTGGACTGATTTTGTATCTCTTTTGCATCTTATAAATTAAAATATTTTAGGTTTTATTTGACTTGCCAAAGTGTGTACTTAAAATTTTCAGAAAACTAACTAATCATCTCGTGAAATGACCACATCCCGGGGAAGGATTATATAGTTCACCCATACTTTTAATGAACTTACGAGCCAATGACAGGATCTATAATATATAAAGAGTTTTTGCCACTTTTGGTCCCCTAACTATAGTGTCAGTGACACTTTTGGTACTCGACTTGCAAACTCAGAAGAGTAATCAAACTGCATACTGGTGCTAAATGTACGTTAATCAGATGCAATGCTACAAAATTAGTCATGGGGAAAGTCACACTGTTGGTCCCCCATTTATTCCACAGTACAAAATGTACTCTATGTTCTACTTTTGAAAATTCAGTCCCTTCAATTGTGGAATATATTGTAATGTGACCGTCATTAATAATGCAGCAAACTTCGTTAAAATGCTATGTAAATGGTGTCCTCCCTCAATTGTGCAACATGTTGTAAACCAGAGTTAGTTAAATTATTACAGCAGGGACTACATATACAACATCTTACACAATTATTAAGAAACCATATTTGGAGAAAGTAGAAGACAGGGACAACATTATATGAAAGTGGACTAAATGGGGGACCAAAAAGTGCGATTTCACTTAGTATTATAAACGTAGTAGTTAGCTAACAGGCATGATGCTGACCTGGCACTGGGTGGATTGTTTGGAAGATGGCTAAGCTGCATCAATGCACACTAAAGATCAGATATATACAGAGAACTGAGAGAAGCAGCTGCGTAAAATATAATATTTTGGATACTAACAAGCTGGAAAACTTTTTTCCCAACCGCGCTGCTATTCTAAATGCATTTCATTTAGGTTAAAGGGTCAAACAGACCCCTTTATCCCTCCAATTTATTCAATTAAACCCCTCAGCTAAAATAAGTTACAATCGAACTCATCAACCTTATTAAAGCTTGCAATCAGCCATAAAGTAGGTTTTCAACCAGTTAAGTCCAACAACGCAGTTGACTGGACATCTTTAAAAGACTAATCCATAGCCACAACCTCTTTTCCCTAACTCATTGTCTTCCCAATCTGAAACCAAAAACCATCCAGTTCTCTCGTCGGCCCTCACCAACTGGATTCCCTCTAATTAATGTTTCGTTTAACAAAATTAGACATTGTTGAGCCATTTTTAAAAAGTTGATTACTGAACCAGCCTTGTCAATACATCCAGAGACTAATGAATCAACGGACACCATAGAAGGAAGAAGATCGGAGAGTCAGACACAATGCCAGAGAAGCCCTAACAATGAGATGCTCTGTTAGCTGTCAAATCTGTGCAGAAGACACTGGTGCGTTCCTACATTGCTATGCAACAATAAGAGCTCATAACTTGAAGAACATGGACTTATTTTAGGGGAGCAAACACAAGGACCTTTTCACTTGGACTAATGGTTACTAGTCTGATTTGAACTATTCTAGTCTGAAGTAATCTATTTAAGTCAGGTGTGGTTTGATATTACATTTACTGTATTACTATGTAATCTTGGTCTGATTTGATCTAGTTTCTTTAAGTCAGGTATGTTCTAGTGTCGTTTGAAATAAGTCCAACTGACAAGTCTTAAATGTCTAGTCACGGCCTCATTCATGCCCCAGTCAACACCCAAATTGCCACGTTTTGGAATCCAAAAAACTATTATGGGGCATTTACCTGTTAAATATAGTTTGTGCTTTTAATGTAGCTTTTCTAGATTGAGGGGGTGAATGGAACCATTGGGGTAGTAGGACGGGTATAAATGCCTATTGATCCTTTGGCCTCTAAACTACCATTGCAGAGCCTAAAATATTTAAATTAACAGCCTAAGCAACTAAATAAACAACCTAAGCAACTAGCTTGCTAAAACTTAAAAACTTACTCTTGATTCTATTGGAAGTTATCTTTCGATATCTCAGAAACACTAGGGAATGAATCAAATCAACTACCTTGCTGTTTATGAGCACTTAATACAGCACTTCTATTAGAAATGCTAACTAAAATAGAATGTCTACTATCACTACCACTTCCACTACCACTATTAATACTAATAATAATAACAACAATAATAAATTAATAATAATAGTAGTGGTGGTGGTGGTGGTAGCAATAATATAAGATTGCTTCTGCCATATCATACTTCTCTATGATATAGGAGCCTCTAGGGTATTATATTTTCCATTTTCCCCTTATTTTAGTTTCTAGGGAGAGTAACTCCCAAGGAAAAATTCTAGGTAAAAATTTTATTGGAGAAAATCAATTAACATGTTCGGTTGTATGTTAATAATTTGTACTGGAACTCCATGGAAAGCTACTTTGAAGTCTTTGTCCAGCGGTCCAGCCCAGGAAGTACTTTGACCCCCCCCGCCCACCCGGCTAGATTTACTTTCTTCCTGAACTAGAGGAAAAATGCATTATAGACTGCTTTCTAGCCTGATCAAAACTCTATACCAAACAGTGGAAAACTTTCCTATTTAATTTCTAGACAAATGAGTGCTTTTTAGGCCTGCAGAACTTTCCTTTGTTTTCAAAGAATTTGTCCAAACTTTATCAGGTGTCATTACGAAATGTGAGAATCACTTGCTGATCTTTACATTATGCTGAAATCTGAATGGCGAAATTTCAACAAGAGCGAATCCATCACTGATGAAGGATCGGGTCAAGTACCTTCTTTTATGATGTAAGGTTGAAGATGAGTACCTCTCAGGAGTAACATCAGAAAATTTCTTGGGACTCCAAGACATTAGCAAGTTCCCAACACAAAGCAGGCTACCATCATAATGCACTCCATTGACTTTGAATCCAGTATCACTGAACCTACATAATAAAGCATATAATTCCAACTTCCAAGAAATCGAGAAGCTACATGAAGTAATTCAGGAATATAATGATAGAGATGCAAAGCATGTGTGAGTATGTAGGATTCATAAACTTGGAAAATGGAAAAATTACAGTTACTCCTTGAGGTTGAGTCATAATTACCACTTCAAAATACGAATTTCAGGTTCAAAACAAATGTTAAGAAATGAAGGGAATAGAGGGAAAATACTCTTGGAAACGAAGTTGATCTTCAGGAACGTTATCTATGAGGTTGATTTGGTCGTATAGGGAGAATGCTCGCCTGAGTGACGGCAATGGTTGGCTTGGATGCGAATTATGGTGCTTCGGAAATTCCTTCCGCAAAGCTCGCATCAACGTCGGCAGCGCTGCCACTGCTTTCTGTCTCACCGCCATCCCTCTCTCAATACGAGAACTTCAGATGGAAATCCTTTGGTCAAATAATCTTTGTATAACTTAAATTTAAAAATAAGTTTATGTTCTTTCTATTTTAGTCGAAATCTGTTCTGATCTGGAAGCTGTTCTTTATATTTTCGTCTTAATCTTATTAGTTATTCTTTATTCTTATTTTATTCATACCAGATCTAATCAGATCAGAAAAATTCAAATCAGATCAGAAACATTCAAATCAGATCGGAAAGATTCAGATCAGATCAGACCAGATCAGACCAGATCAGAAACATTCAGATCAGATCAGAAAAATTCAAACATGATTTATCACTTTTATTATTATATAGTATTAATTATAATTATTACTATTATAATTATTATTTATAATAATTGTTAATAATATTAATAGTAATATATAAATATAAATATTATTATTATATTATAATAATAATATAATATTAATAATATAATAATAATATAATAATATAACAATAGTGATAATTTTAATATCATTATTATATTATAATAAAAATTAAGTTATTATTATATTACGGAGTATTATATTGTTATAGTTAAGATAATAATAATAATAATAATAATAATATAATTTATTATTATAATATTATTATTGTTATAATATAATAATTATAATTATAATTATAATTATTAATATTTTTGTTGTTGTTGTTGTTGTTGTTATTTTTGTAATTATCATTGTTACACGAAGTAAATACCCTCGGCAGTAGGGTTTAGTATTCCGCCGTTTCTGGTGCGGGTTTCGATTGATTGATAGGATGGCGAGCAACGGCGAACGTGAGGGAAGCAAGGAGTCGCTGATACAGGGTGGCGCGACAAGTCTGGGAATACCGCAGCAGGAACAACTGCGAGGTCGTATAACTTCGAGCTCGGCAGGCGGATTCTAGGAGGACGAAGGTGAGTCGTCTATGGCAGATGAAGTCAGAACGGTGGAGAAGCTGACTGGGAAAATAAATGAGATGGGGCTGGACAATTTGGGGGAGGAGCTATTGCTGGACGACGATGAAGAGGGCGAACCCGATGGTGAGGCGACGAAGAAGGGAGCGGATACTTATCCAGTGGTAGGCACGATTCTCACAGACAAGACGGTCAAATTCTCGGTCTTCCGGGACCTCAGGGCATCTTTGTGGCATCCGGGTAAAGGTGTGCTCATCCAAGATATCGGGGAAAAGAGGTACCTCTTTACTTTTACCACGTTATAGATATGAATCGTGTGTTGAATGACGGTCTGTGGTTGTTTGATCAGAATCTAGTGGTGTTAAAAGCTATTAAATTAGGTGACATGCCCTTGAAAGTTCCTCTTGATACAGCTGAATTTTGGGTTCAAGCCCACAACATCCCTTATGGTTTTTCGAATTTAGGTTACGCTCGTAAGATTGGGAATAATTTGGGTAGTTATGTCTCTTGGGATGATAACCAATATGCTGAGAAAAAAGAAGCCTATATGAGGGTGCGTGTTTTGCTAGATGGGAAAAAACCTCTAAAGGTGGGACTCACGCTGAAAAAGAGCAGGGGGGGGGGGGGCTACTGGGTAGATTTCAGGTATGAGAAGCTACCTAGTTTTCTGCTTTGCATGTGGTATAATTGGACACACTAAGAAGTTTTGTCCTCTGCTGTATGAGCTTGGAGAAAAAGCGGGTGTGAGATCATTTGGGCCTTGGCTAAGGGCGGGAGGAGGGAGGACCCGCCCTTCTAGCGATAGTCAGTGGCTGGTCAGTGAAGGCGGAATGAGGAGAGACCAAACAGGTAGACAGAGTGTTTCCATGGAGGTGCAGGGACAGGGTCCGGGCCACAAACAGGGAAAGCTCCAGGATAGGCTCCAGGATGCAGGGGCACTAAGCAGTGGCAAGGGGGAACAGAAAAGGAGGAGGACCTGGGGCGGGAAGGAGCAGGAACAGGAGAACTCAGAGGAGGATGGCATGGCTCTGGATGAGTCAAAAAACAGGGGAGAGGCGGGCTGGAGCACACAAGCCCGCCTCCACCAGTGAAGATCATATGTTCATGGCAGATTGCAGCTATTTTTTATTTTAGACTTATTTTCGTTTCAGTTGTTTTCCCTTTCGGACAGAGTGTGTTTCTTTTTGCTTCCGTTTTTATTTCTGTCAAGACCCTAGAACATAAGACAGGTGGTGAAGAGCCTAGTTTACCAGTCATTGGCTCAGGTATGCCCAATTCAGGATCAACGAATCTGAATGCTTCTTTTGAGGTGACAGATTCTAAGTCTGGTTCAAGGGCAGACGGTAGACATGAGGTTCTTTGTCTGTTTGTTACCTGCTTACGTTCATTCTTATTAATATAAGCCACCTTCTTCCAAAAAAAATTGTTACACGAAGTAATTATATTTCTATTTATAGTATAGTTATAATTATAATTATTGATATAAATATTATAATTATAATTACAATAATAATTATATAGGTAATTGTAATTAAAAATATAATTACATTTATAATTGTATATATAGTTATAATTAGTGTAATTGGTACAATTATTATAATTTTAATTTTAATTATTATTATAAAAATTTTTATAATTATGATTATAATTATAATTTTATTTAAGTTATATTTGTAATTACAATTGTAATTATAATAATTATAATTATAATTCAAATTATAGAAATATTCAAATCAGATCAGAAAGATTCAGATCAAATCAGATCAGATCAAAAGAATTCAGATAAGACCAGAAAGATTCAGATCATATTAGAAAGATTCAGATCGGATCAGATCAGATCAGAAAAATTTAGATCAGATCAGATCAGAACTTAAAAAATTCAGATCATAAACATTCAGATCAGGTGAAGAGAACAGCTTCCTAGTTTATCTAGTCTGATTTGATCTGGTATGATCTAATCTGAAACTGAAATAAATTCATAAAAACATGATCATTAATCATTTTTAGAAAACATTAAATGTATCGTGCAAAGGTATTTATTAATGATTTGAACACTTTATGAGCGGTCGTCTCTCTAAACCAGTTATGATTTTTTGTTCCGCCGAGCTTTGTTCATGCGGTTTGGATTTTCGTGGAACGTGAGCTCCGTGTGGCTTTCCCTTTGGAGTTTCGAAACGTGAGTGGAACGCAAGGGCGGTGGGGTGCAACTTGGATTTTTGGAGGCGAGGAAACACAAGGCAACATGATAGAATTTTCTTGTGCACTTCGGACATGGATTTCAATGGCAAATCTCAAGGAGCGAATTGACGAGAGCAAATTGACGAGCGCGAGAAGGATAGAGTTTCAGACGAATTTTCCAGGGGTCGAAATTTTCTTCTAGCAGCTCGTCCTCCTTCGGAATCACCTTCATGCGATGAAGCAATTTGGGAAAAGTTTTTTTTGTATTATTTTTCCTTTAGTAGTACTTGTTTTTATTTTCAGTTCGAGCATGTATGGTTGGAGTATTTTGATTTTTGAAGAACTTTTGATAGGCAGTGCTTCATTTTCGGTCGCTTTAGTCTTCTTTTTGCCCGTTTTGTGTCTAGCGAGTCAGGTGTTTTGTGTGAGTTACTGACTCTAAGTCTATTTCTAAAGCTTACGATTGGATTTGTAATAGTTGTCTGGATATTGACTTGCATATTTGCTCTTTATTAGTGAAAGCCGTTTTTATAATAAATAAAAAACTTACTTCCTCCGTTCCTTTTTAATTGCAACAGTCAACATTTCACGTTTGCCAACGCACGAGTTTGACCATTAATATCTTTCATTCCTCATTAGTAAAAAAATTAAAAAATTCATATTTTGAAAATTTAGAATGAGAAGAATTTAACAATATGTTTTTAAAATTTAAGTTATAATACATTAATTAATTAAATATAGTCAAAATAGGATATGTGAATAGTGCAAAAAGTCCAACGTTGCAATTAAAAGAGAACGGAGGTAGTAAAAGCTAAAAGTATAATAGTACGCTTACTTTGACAATTGACATATCTCACCTTTTAATTGGTTTTTTTAATATTTGTAATAACATGTGTTGAGGTTTTGTCCCGTACATCCGAAAGCCCAACATAAACTTTGGATATTAGGGACGATGAATTTGGTATAAAAGTAAATAAAGAATATAGGAGTGTATGAACTAGCTATTTTCACGTGGAAACCCGAAAAGGGAGAAAACCACGGGACTTTTTAGGCTAATGTCCAAGCTCGCTCTTTCTCATTAATATGTTCTCCTCACCATTTTACATAGTACAAGTATAGAACCTCTATTAATGGAGTTTATGAGCTCTCTACAAAAGATGAAGAAGAAATGGTAAGGGGGAGGGAGAAGAGCTCCTGGGAGCAGAAAAAAGATCCCCACAATAGGAAGCCTAGCTTGCCTATTTATAGAAGGGGAGGGAAACCCTTTCATGTTAATGGGCCGAAAAAGGCCTTAATGGGCCAAAACAGGCCCAAGTAGGCCGAGTAGGCCTAACTGGCCCTAAATGCGCCCGAGGGGCCTAAATGGGCCTCATCGTCTGGGCTTTATACCGGGGTGACGCCTTGGCCTCTGAATAGTAGTAGTCCGGGGTAATATACCCCAACAACATGTTTTTTATATCAAAAGAATTTAATTTTCTTTTTCATGTTCAAAGAAATATACATATAAACTGTGAATAATTTAAGAGAGAATTCCCTAAATAGGAGTAAAAAAGTTTTAAAATTCCAAAATAGGAGTATCATGTTTTTTATTCTCTGAATAGGAGTAAATTTCTGCCAAATTTGGTATTACAAGGCTTTTAAACATGGCATTTTTTCCCAAACTTGGCATATTACTCCTATTTAGGGAATAAAAAACATGATACTTATATTTTGGAATTTCAAAACATTTTTACTCCTATTTAGGGCAATTTCTGATAATTTAAGTGTCAAAAGTCTATACTTTTGCATTTTTAGAATATGTGTATATTCTAATTTTTTTAAAAGTGTCAAAATCTAATTTATGAGAGCAACATTGCGCTAGGGTTTGAGCGCCGCAGAGAAAGCGAGTGGCTTGGGATAATCTCAATTGATAGATGATGGGCAACGAGGTTGGCAATGGGCTGGTTTCGGTCGGCAGGGAAAGATCGTTCGTAACTCGATGCAAAAACATTTCATCCATGGATGAAGG